TTGGGTTTAGGCTTTGGGGTTTGGGTTTTAGGGTTTGGGGTTTGGGGTTTAGGGTTTAGGGTTTAGGGTTGAGGGTTTAGGGTTTAGGGTTTACTGAAGACCCGGAGGTTGCGACAGTGAAGGCCAAGATCGACGAGGTGGACGCTAAACCCTAAACTCAAGGGACTAAAGGAGGGACCCTTAAAGGGACCGGGTATAGAAGGGTTATATAGGGTATCTGGATTGGGGTCCCTTCTAGCGGTCCCTCCTATTGTCCCTTAATAGGCCCCAAAGCCAGGTTTAGGGTTTTGGGCTTAGGGACAATGAAAAAGAAATTTGAAATGGGAGTTTCCGGAAATAAGGGGTACCTTATTTTGGGGTCCTTATAATAAGGATCCTAGTATTTAGGGAGCTATATTAGGGTCCCCTATTTTCGGAAGCCCCCAAATCCTAAACCCTAAGCCCTAATTACAAAGACGAGGTGGACACTATGCTGGCACAGGAAACGGGCATGAACCCCAACACCATCCTGAAGAACATGACGGATATCATCCCGCTCTGGCCGGCAGTGCAATCGCCGGAGCTGAGTGAACGCTTGGCGGCTGCCTTCGACATGCTGAAGCTTGGTGTCTAAGGAACTTGAATCACATAATAAGGTAGCACAAAGCTCTGTTTTTCCTACAGATATACAACTTCAGTGCTACACCCTAAACCCAAAACCGTAAACCTTAAACCCTAAAACCGACAAATGCTACACCCCAAACCCTAGGTCCGATGCCCGAAATAATCCTCATAGCCCGGAGGGAATTCAGAGAACCCAATACCCCTTAGTTAAGGCAGTTATAGGGTTTAGGGTTTTTAGGGTTTTTAGGGTTTAGGTAAATCATAATAAGGATCCTACTATAATTTAAGGTATATTCCTCAAAGACGGTATATTGGGATCTCTGGGGAATTCCTGCAGCAAGCTAGGAAGACCCGAATGTCGGCGGCTTGCGCTGGTGCCTCGAAAGAGGATCAACAGGCTAAGCTGAAGGCGCGGAAATGCTGCGAGCGTAGCAGGATTTGGGGCTAAGGATTTAGGGTTTTGGGGATTTAGGGTTTTGGGTTTAGGGTTTTGGGGATTTAGGGCTTAGGATTTAGGGTTTTGCGGGGTTAGGGTTTAGGATTTAGGGTTTAGGGCTTTGGGTTTGGGATTTAGGGTTTAGGGTTTCCTGGGGGTTGAGTTGGGATCTAGGTTTCGGGGCATAGAGGTTTAGTTAGGTTTTAGGGTTTTGGGTTGTAGTGTTAGGGTTTAAAGTTTAGAGTGTATCGTGTTGGGGATGCAGTTGAGAGATCATGCACACTCCTGTAGGACATTTTCAGGTGGGTAGTTACCGTCATAGGAGCCATATAGAAGGTCTATATACCTTAAACTCCCCACCTCTAGCTTCCTTTAACCCCTAAACCCTAAACCCTAAACCCTTTTTAAAGGAACCCTAAACTCCCCACCTGTAGCTTCCTTTAACCCCTAAACCCTAAACCCCTTTTAAAGGAACCCTAAACTCCCCACCTGTAGCTTCCTTTAAGCTCCTGACGGCTCCACGATCTCCCTGAACTTAACCCCAAACGTTAAACTCCACAACCCTAAATGGGAGTTTCCAAAAATTAGGGCACCTTATTTTGGGGGTCCTTATAATAAGGATCCTATTATTTAGGGTACTATATTAGGGTCCCCTATTTTGGGAAACCCCCAAATCCCAAAGCCCCCAAAATCCTAAAACCGGAAAGCCTAAAACCTAAAGCCCTAAAAACCCTAAAGCCCTAAGACCCGAAAAACCCTAAAGCCGTAAAATTCTATAACTTAATTTGCTCAGGCACTGATGGCTTTTGCTCAGAAGATGGACGAAGCCCAGAGGCCTCGTAACTAAAGGGTTAACGGTTAAGCGTTTTAGGGCTTCAGGTTTATAGGGTTTGGGGTTTAGGATTCATGATTTAGGGTTTTGGGTTCAGGAATTAGGTTTCAGGATCTAGGATTCTAGGGTTCTTAGGGTTCAGGGTTTGCTTGTCCAAAAACCCTACAGTTTTTAAGGGGTTCTACCCCATAAGACAGGAATCTCCAGCCCGCTGCCAAAGCCCTACGTCACGTACCCAGAGAACAGAATACCCCTTAATTAAGGAATATACCTTCAATCATAATATTAAAGTCCCGATCATTTAAGGTATATTCCTTAATTAAGGTGTATTGGGTTCTCTACGTAGCCGCAAAGGGAGAAATCTCAAGTCCCAGATGGGGCCCCCCGAGCCCGAAACCCTAAAGCCCCTAAGCCCTGAGCCCACAACCCTACAAGCGCTAAACCCTCTCTATCAATATTACGTTAGATCTTCATGAAATTCGCGGGCAAGATCCGGAAATTCGTGGGCAAGATCCAAAAGTCTCTTGCCCACGAATTTCCGGATGTTGCCCGTGAATTTCCGGATTTGTGCATCTTGCGCCCACGGATGTCCCGATCTTGCACACGAATTTCTGGAATTTCCGGCAAGATCCGGCAATTCGTGGGAGAGTTCTGGATCTTGCCCACGAATTTCCGACTTTTTGTTTGGATCTTGCTGTTCCGGGCCCTAAAACAATAGCCCGAACCCTAAAATAGCAGTCCGAACCCGAAAGGAAAGGTAGTCCGAACCCTAAAGATGGCAGCCCGGGTTATAGTCCGAATCTTAAGATAGTAGTCCTACTCCGGGAACAATCGTCCGAACCTTAAGATAATCGTCCGGTTCTTAAAAATGGTAGTCCGAATCCTCAGAGAGTGGCCCCCAACCCTAAGATGCATAGATCCCTAAAGTACTAGACTGAACCCGAAAGTTATGGTCCGAACCCTAAAAATCGTAGTCCGAACCCTGAAACACTGGCTCGAACCCTCAAATAGTGGTCCGAATCCTAAAGTAGTAGTCCGAACCCCGAAACAAAAAGTGGCTCTTGTTAGCTTAAAGCACCGTTTAGGGTTTCGGTTAAGGTTTCGTTCAAGGTTTCGCTTAGGGTTCCGCTTAAAGTTCGTTTAGGGTTTAGGATTTCGTAGGGAAAAATACACTTTGTATGTTTTGGTATTCTGCGGGTGGGTGGGTATTGTTCATGTTCCAAAGAGCAAGCTTGACTAGGTACTGCTCGATCCGGAGCTGCTGAACCCTAAACCCCTAAACCCCTAAACCCTAACCCCTAAACGCTCAACCCCTAAAGCCCTCAACATCAAACCCCTAAACCCCAAACTCCACCAGGTCCTTGGGGTCCTGCTGCCCAGACTTTCTCCTATCCATGGCTGCTGCCGGAGCATCCCAGGAGATTCCTTCCCCCCCTCCCTAAACCCTAAAACCCTAAACCCTAAACCCTAAACCATTAAACCCTAAACCACTAAACCCTAAACCCTAAAACCCTAAAACCCCAAAGCCCGAAACCTTAGTAGGCTTGTGGTTTCCTAATTATAGTTATAATATTATAATGGGCCGCCCCAAAACCGTATTCTAAGTATTAAGGCCCCTATATTGGTCATGTTGGTTGAGGGTTCAATGATCCAGAGCTATACAGTGCCTGCCCTAAACCCTAAACCGTCATATGCCATAGCACAAGTAGTCCCAAGAAGTATGAAGCCGCATTTGTTCGTGCCAAGCTGCTTGCGCGTTGCCCAGAGAACCCAATACCCCTTAATTAAGGAATATACATTAAATCATAATAATAATAATAGTAATCATAATAATAATAACAATAATAATAATAATGATAATAATAATAATAAGGGTCCTATAATTTAAGGTGCTTTCGAGCTGCATACATTTGAGTGTAAACGGCAATAACTTTTTCCCTCCTACGTTTCTTAGCTGGGGGGCTTTGCCAGGACCTCCTGGATGCGGAAACGGAGCTTGGGAAAGAGTCTGGTATGAACCCAATGCTGGTGTTGAAGAACATCAGCTCCTCGGCTCCTTGTACCCAGACCCCCAAAAGGATCTAAAAAATAGATCCCCTTATAAGGACGTTCCTATAAAGTACCCTTTAGTAGTTAGGGTCCCTAATTACGGGATCTACTTTTTAGATCCTTTTGGGGGTCTGGGTAGCTTAGGGGGTTTCTTAACATCGGGGGCACTTCATTGTTTTAGGGGTCCTACAGTTTGTATAAACTTCCATTTGGAGCCAGCTGTTTCCGAAGGCAGTAATTACGTCCAACGGTTCCCCTAAGGGTCCCTCTGTACTACCACTATGGAACAAGGTCCCAAAAGACCATCCTCATTACAGTTTTGGGGACCTAATGCCATAGTAGTAGTGTATATGAACCCTCCGAATTCATGATCTGGGTGCATTTCTGGAAATCTTGCACTCTAAGCCCTGCACCCTACACCCTAAACCCCTACATCGAGGTCCCTAAGTTATAGAGCCGTAAACCCCTAAACCCTAAGAAGTGGAAGCCCTTTTAAGGCTAAACCCTGAACCCTAAACCCTAAACCCTAAAGCCTAAACCCTAAATCCTAACCCTTTAAAGAGCCCAGGAAACTTGAGCTCCCTAAGCTATAGAGCCCTAAACCCCTATAAACCCTAAACCCTAAAACACAAAAATCCTAACCCTTTAAAGAGCCCAGGAAACCCTAAACCCAAACCCTTTTAAGAGCCCAATAAACCCTAAACCCAAACCCTTTAAAGAGCCCAGGAAGCCCTAAATCCTAAACCTTTAAAGAACTTAAACCCTAAACCCTAACCCTTTCAAGAGCCCAGGAAACTTGAGCATCTATTGGGACGCCCTCGGACCTTCGGAGGAATCCCTGGCTGAGGAACAGCGAAAGCGGTTAGGCGCCATGTGCCTCCTGGCACCGAGGAGTTAGGGTTTGTTTTGGTTTTTAGGGTTTTAGGGTTTAGGGTTTAGGATTTGGGGGTTTTAGGGTTTGGGGTTAAGGGCTGGGGGTTTAGGGCTTAGGGCTTGGGCTTAGGATTTAGGGCATTGGGTTTACCGTGTGTATATTATACAGTGTGCGCGCGGTGGGTGCGTTTCTTTAGGAATGGGGGCGCACGCACTTCTCGCGTGCTTGCGTCAGCATGGAGTCCCGCCCCAAGCCCCGTCGCTGCGTGTCATCCCATCTCCTCCAAGCTCAAAGGGGCCACTTTCGAAATGTCAAGCGGCGGTACAGGCATCAGTTCATCACATGAGCGGAAAAAGAGACTCAGTTCACATCTTAGACTTGGCTTGTGCGGCTGCACGCGCAGACATCGAAAAACCATGTCATGACATCGATCGAACAGCATGTTTTGACCCGGTCCCGGTCCAGTCCCGTCCCGTCCGTCCCGTTTGCTCCCCTTCCCGGCATCCCTCTCATAGCGTCCCGTCCCGTCCCGACATCGACACATGGAAAGCCAAAATCTATCCTGAGTTGTCATGGTTAGACCCTACCCTCACCCTAAACCCTTAATAGCCTGAACCCTATCTTTAGATGCCATGGCAACCTTTTCGATAAGTGTCCCCTTGCCTTTCTGACTCCTGCGCTTGAGGCCTCAAGAATCGTAAAGCCAAAAGCCCTAATGCAGGCCTTAGTAATTGGGGTTTAGGGGGGGTTGGGGGGATGTTATACTATAAATATAATATGGAACCCCCAAAACACTATTCTAA